TTTGTTTGAGGACTATAATCGTCCTCCTGTCTAGGTATCGGTGCCTTAGCGGTATTCCAGCCCACTTATGACCATTAACTGCATATATACAAATAAAATCATGTCACATCGGCCGTCGTGTTGTGCCATCAGCCGAGTCGCCTTACTTATTGCATACGGCGAGGCGGGTAAGCGAGCACAGACTACTACTGACACCTTCATTCGTTCTCTTTCGCATAATTCTCTCCCCACCCCATTAATAACTCTATCCTTGTAGACCCAGATTGATAACTCCATTCGTCCCGCAACGTTTTTGCTAGCAACATCTACACGTCATCCGGTGCCGACGTCCTCAGGCATCTCGAAATCAATCTTCAAGCCTCGACGCCCAGTTTATCCGGCCACTATTAATGTCCACACTCTGAAGCAAACAGGTCAACAAGCTGCTCTCGTTCTCACAGTGGACTTGCTTGGCATTGATATGTGTTGTATCTCAGGAATGAGAATTCAAGATGCAACCACAGTCATTGAGCTAACCGCTTCATCACTCTCCACTCGTTTCTCGGCACGCGCATCTGTTGATCCAGAGACTGCTGTAGTTGATATCGATTGCTATCTTCCTAGGTCACTGGGGGAAGAATCCTTGCTTTACTGGATACCCGTTGATAGTCTCCTCTTTGTAGTTCGTCTGGCAGTGCCTGTGAATGAGCCTCACAAGCAAGAAGCTGATCGATGCCTGTTTGTCTTGTCTTACGCCCGAACTGACTGTAGCTCTGACACATCGGTGACTTAATCAAATGGTCGACATGGACTGGACTCAGTATGTCCGGACAGTGGTGAACGATTGCTTCGGCTGTGTGCTGGCCGCAGGCTGTTTTTATACAGTACTACCCTCCGAAATAGCCGAAGTTGTTTGGCCGCATGGTGTCCTCCAACGGCATGCCGGTCACAAACTCAAATCGATCACATTGTCATCAGCTACCGATGGCGCCGATCAGTAACTGTTTTAGAACCCATTTGTAGACTCTGACCACTCACTCGTCTGGAGTTGTTTCTCCCTAGCTTTTCCAAAGCCACGTAAGGTGTGAAAAATCGATTGGCAACTGAAAGACTAGCAGATCCGGATGTTGGACAAATTTACCAGACTAGTCTTCTAGAGTCTATTCCAACTGCTCCAGCATCAGATGTGAATTCATACTGGGACGAGATGGCTACCACTTGGCACAGTGCTGGGAGTTTTGTGAGATGGCGCTACTAGGCTCACTCAAGCACTGGATATCAGACCGAACGATGACACCGCATAAACCTCAGAGAAACATCCCAGCCGGTCCCGAACATAACTTGACGCGACGAATCATTAGACGTCAAGTGAAAGTTAGTGTGCGAATCAACCGTGAATTCTGGTAGACACAGGAAGCCAAGGAAATGAAATAGGTCCAGGAACCTGATAATGCCCGAGGATTATTTCATTTGGTCTCTGCTATCGGTCCCCGGAGACCTGCTGTTAGCGAAACCATCACAGATCAGAACGGGGCGACCATCTTGAACATAGAACCTATCTACAGGAGGGCCGAATACATCGAATGACAGTTATTGTGGCCACCAGCTGCCACTCATCTGGAACCCATAGTTAAGGTAGAACACTGAATGGTGAACGTGGAACCCCCTACAGTCTCGAAGGGGGTTATCCCAAGCGCCACCGAGCTTCTGGTCCGGATGACCTACCTCATGCATTGTCCAAAGATGGGGGTGAAATTTTCATTCATTGCTTGTCTTGTCTGTTTGCCTGCGTTTGAGAAAAAGGAGTCCGTCTCAGACAACTGGGGTATGAAAAAAATCACCAGATGTTTGGGTACTGTCGGTGCTACTCGCCTTCCAGTATGGAAGCTGAGTGATCCTCACTGTGCCTGGTTGCAGCCGCTTCAAGGTATGGCTTCCAACCGATGTCAGTGGCGATCTCGTTGTCAGTTCCTATCCAGATTGCCTGAATGATTGTTTGGAGGTGTAGGCACCTCAGAATGATTGCAGTAAACCAGCAAAGTCCGTTCCCCGTCCACCTTTATTCTTCTCTTCACAATAAGGCCTCCAAATAAATCATGGTTGTACGGCAGCGAAGCATCGGTGTTAAACACTGATGTCATGCTGTCGATGATGATGATGATGAGGACGATGATGGGGAGTTGGTAATAGTGCCCATTTTCAAACAAGGGATTCGTAGTAAATGTGGCAACCACAGGGGGGGTCAGTTTAACCCTGGTTTTAACGACATTGTAATGGGACTGCTAGCGTCACTTGTACTTCGTCACATTATGGTGGCTAATGAAACACTAACTTGAGAGCAGCAAGCGGGATTCCGGCCTGGTAGGGGTTGTGTTGACCGAAGCTTCACACTGTCAGGTGCTACAACAACGCCATACGTACAAATGACCTACAACTTTAGTATTACTGAATTTCCAAAAGCGTCCGTACATAAAGCGGTGTCCATTCTCTCCATTCTTATTTAAGTTCGTAATCGATGAAGTAATGAGACGAACGCTGGGAGGCCTTCAAAGCTCTGGTGTTCAAATAGCCTATGACGAAAACCTTGACGATCTGGAATACGCAGATGATATCGTTCTCGTCTTCGAAGAGGAGAAGGCACAAGTGTTTTTGGATGAACTGACCAAGGTCATCCCGTTCTTTGGTATGCACTTTAAACCCACAAAGTGTAAGACCATGCTCGTGGGTACGAAGTCACTCAGCATGCCACTCACAGTCCAGGGTGAAGCACTCGAAGTTGTGTAGCGGTTTACTTATCTTAGAATTCGTACTAGTTCTGATTGTAGTATGGCAGATGAGGTCTATGCACGAATCTGTAAGGCTTGGGTCGCGTTTGCTAAATTGAGATACCTATGGCGTTAAAGTGGTGTATCCCTGAGTCTCAAAGGACGTGTGTATAACTGCGGGTTATTTTGTTGTATGGCTGTGAGGGTTGGGCTATTCGAGCAGCGAAACTGACTCGTCCTCATTAGTTCGACAATCATTGTCTCAGAACCATATCTCGTTTGGGTTGGTGTCGGTGAATCCGTAATGAGGCAATTAGAAAGCGAGTTTTTTGTTTGAGCTACAGAAACGTGCATTGAAAATGTGACCAGCCCCAAAAGTTGCGTTGATTAGGCTATGTATTGTTATGCCGAACCGTCGTTTGCTTGAGAGTGCTGATTTCCACGCTCAATTCAGAGTGGCGGAACCAGAGAGGTGGCCAACCCTTGAGCTAGTAGACGGATATGGAAGGGACCACGAGACATTTGGATGCTGTCGGTGCTGCTCGAATTTCAGGGTGGAAACCGCGTGATCCTTACTGCGCCTGGTCGGAGACGCTGCAAGATGACTGCTAATCGATGTGAATGACGTTCGTGTTGTCAGTTTCTATCCAGATTACCTCAATGAGTTTTTGGAGGTGTAGGCACCTCGGATTGATTGCAGTAAAGCAGCACTAAGTTCACTTCCTGTCCACATTTAATCTTATATACTATAAGGTTCTCAAATATATCATGGTTGTACTGGAGAGAATCATCAAGGTTGAACACTATCATGCTGCCCACAGTGAGGATGACGACCATGTAATCATGCAGTTTAATACGCTGCAGGTAATAGTTTTCCTCCTACAAAACAGGCGTCTCGTCTATCCCAGGCATTTTGTTCTCGTACACCGGAAGAGGACTCTTTCGGGTGCGCCTGTGTGTGATGGTATTGAAGGTGCTGGGCTGGGTTGGCCATTACACTTCACAGGTGCTTCAGTGGCTAGCGAGGAAATCCCTTTACCACAGGCAGCCAAAGATATGGAGATCGCGTTCCGCATTTCGATAGTAAAAACGACAACACAGCTTGGCACCTGACTTGCGCAAACATGATCGGAAAATGTCCGCAAGAAACGATGGCGTGCAATAAGGTCAGACGAACCGAAACGGACAATTGCCTCGCAAATATCTGATGACATATTCTGAGCAACACTCAGTTTAGGTGGTTTGCCTTTTGGGACAGTCTCTACTAACACTATATTCTCAGCACCGATAGCTAACGGTTAGACATGGTTCAGCAGCAAAGACCATATAGCGACATGGCGATAACCAAGAGCTCGTAAATGATCATGAGCGTTTCATTGACTGTCCGAATTGCAGTGTATTGCTGCCGCTGAAAACCAGGTGCGATTTCGTGCAGCGAGACAACTCAACACTTTTGCTATGGTTTCAACGGACCCGCCCCTGGACGTATGGTGTCAGCCGACCCAAAAACTCAAATTGAGACGACAGAGTCGCACTTTCGGTCGTCCACTTACCAACGGAATACTAAGGATTCTTCCATACTTTGCCTCTAACTGCTCATTCCTCTTGCTACTTACCTAAATACATGTGAGAGACGAGGGCGACTAAGGTAGTTTCCACTTAATATACCTATTAGCTTATTCGACCCGGCTCGTTGTCTCAATACCAGGGGTAATATTGCTTCCGAGTATGATTCGCCCGGGTATTCAGGTTGGAAGTCTAATGCTTACTGAGGTACGACTTGGTTACAACTTCTGATACTGGTGGCATAGACCTCAGCTTCACTCACTTTTATACGGTGCACCATTCACTTTGACAGGGCAAACAAAACTTATTTGTCGGAGGGGTTCACTTCCTTAAACTTGTTACTCCTGGCAAAACTTTGTAAGACGTGAAAAAACGTCAGGCATCGCTGACTTCGGCTCCTCAGCTGTGACCTATTCTTAAGCACCACAATCATTTTAATGGCATTCACCAGGGACATCATTCCCACAAAATGTTTAACAGCGATATCATAACATTCTTGTGACACACTACGGATGGAGGCGTAAAACAAACTGACCAACACGATTGTAACCGGGGGCTACCACATGCCGCAGGTGGCATCCAACTCCGCTACACTGATACGTTGAATTTCCCTGCTCTACATCACCCTACTTTGCAAACAAACTAAACAACCGCACAGTCATGGACGACAAGATATTCAAACTACTAGCATCACAAACAGGCAGCCATGGGTCCAGATGCGTGCAAGGCCTCTCGGACACCATGCAGACCACAAACAGGATTGTCCAAGCGGCGCAATTTGTCGCGCACGACCCAAACATCGCCAATCGTCAAGTCATAGTTACAATTTTTCATGGTCGATTCAAACCAAAAACCACCTTTTCCGGATTCTCGTCTAGACGGAGGTTGCTGGTGCACACTTGTCAGTCAGACTTTCGTAGGTCGTGCGAATCCTGCCTATTGAAGCTAACTATAACAAGTCGATCGTCGTGGTGAGCCACACATATGAACGACCGGCAGTCGGAATCTGCTTACCTGAACATGTGCACTGAATGAATATGTGGATAACAATCCACATACAGACGACCACCCTTGGTAGAGTTCCAGGGTGATCGGGTGTACACCGTGAACGCCGACGGATTGCGCAAGCATTTCTTTGGTCTTCTGAGCATATCTAGACACTGATAAACTATATCGGCTAGTACAACAGGTGCCCGTTCCCCACTGGAATCTCTGCAGTTTTTACTCAAATTCCATGAGTGATCGATTCTGTCAACCGGGGAAGCACTGTAGCATCTGCCTTGGTACATTCTAGGCTGTGATGTACTCGGCTTCGTGCCACTGTTACCGTGCTTGATTAATGACCAGGTCGCATCAGCTGAATCCTGTGGGAGATTCTACAAAATAATGAAACATACTATGACAATGAATCCTCAGCATCAACACTGGTATTGCTGTCTCTGATGATACTACATGAGCCATGTCGTGGCATATCCGGTCGCACTCTGTGCCAGATGGCTGTTCGACCTGCAGTTCTGTAAAAAAAAACTGGGTTTAGGACGTAGAATCATCCTGGTGATGACTGATGACCAAAACTTTGGTCAATTGTTTCGAAGGTGGCACAGCACTGTGCCTTGATGTGTGCGTGAGGGCGCGGACAGTTCAAGTACTACTCTATAGAGCTGACACGCAGACCGTTTACATATGTAATGCGTTTTGGTAGAAGCAACACCGGTTGTTTCTAAAGGAAGCGCAAGGCGAAACCTAGCTTCGATGCTGAGCGCATCGAATCCAGTTGCATACTTCGAACGTATCAAATCCAAAACCAGCGAATAAACAGGAAGCCGACCGTGGGCATCGAATCAGCGATGACTAGAATAAACGGAATGAATCTGAACCGCACCACAGCTCTGGATGTATGACGGTTTTCTCCAGAGATAACTCACTGAACACAGCGGTGTTCACACAGCACGAAGACCCCAAGAATGACCGAAGTTAGCTGCCTCAACCTGGCTCGTCAGTATCCCTATCACTGAAATCCAAACCATGTGACACATCAGATGGCATCAGTGCCATGCTCAAGATTAGGTAGTCAAACGAGCATGGAATATTGGCAGATGGTTAATCTTCGCAACACACCAGACATAGTGGGGTCGAAAAATTTTTGAGACTGAAGAACCACGGGGTCGCGGTGACGAAGGCCGTCTCCGACCTGTTAGGGACCATGGAGGATTCTATAACCCCCAGAAGCTATTCAGAATCGGTTTACACGAGAAGAAAGCCCAATGGCTCAGTGATATTAGTGAGACCAGATCGAAATCCCGACCTAAAGCTGCCACCTTGGCG